CTTCTCCCCCCCTTCTCCCCCCCTTTTCCCTCTCTACCCCTTTCTCTCTCACTCCTCATTCTGTAATAGTTTTACACAATTTTTATTTCTTACAGTTACTACAACTGGGCTTTGGCTGCTCCCATGATCCTTAGCTTGCAAGTGTTCCAGAAGAGTTTGCCTAAGGTGAGATGGTCTGCCGTTTGTTGTTTTTTCAAAAGTATCTATAGCATATAGTACTTAGAAAAATCCATATGTGCATATTTCTAAACTCTGTACTTTCCAAAAATTTATTTAATAATATAAAAGACCCAAGGAGTTCTACGTGTCCACTCAAATGATCTCATGCCCCAAATCTGGGAAGTTAGCTAGGTTGCCGTATCTTTATTATTTTTACTAGATATTTATATCAGTTTCTGATTGTGTGTAAACATTGAGAGATTTTGCTAATTGTTAAGTACAGAATGAATGGAAAAAATTTCCTCTCATTAATATTGAAAGAAGCAGCAAGAAAAGGGTGATGTGGCCACCAGAAGCATGACATCAGTGTGATTAGGTCAAATTGTGGCTAATAAACTTATGTAGAACCTGAAGGTTGCTTTGAATCTGTCCTGCAAGAAGACATCATCGGCCTAATTGGTCCTCATAATTTAGGAGAGTTACATTTTCCAAGAGTAGAGACATGAGAGCAGCCCACCTGCCCAGCCCCTAAGGGGGCTGCTCCTGTGTGGCCTCACCACTAGTCTCAGAACACAGAACTGCCATGAAGCCAGGCTGCCATGAAAGAGGACACTATCCATCTTTCAGGTGTTAAAATCTCTAGAGTTTGGGAGATGTGGAGATTATTGCTCAGACTTCATGATAAGGCACCATCCTTCAGGCTAGTGGTGTGGTAGAAAGTAGTCAGGTGTTTTGTGACCGACAGATTGCTAGACTAACCCAAGTTGATTGTTTCCAGGCCACAGTCGAGTCCTGGGTCAAAGATAAGATGCCAAAGAAATCTGGTCGCTGGTGGTTTTGGCGTAAGAGAGAAAGCATGACCAAACAGGTAACCAGCCTGGAGGTGTTCTTTCCATAAGTTGAAAAGTGAATCTTGCAGTTATTCAGAAAACTTTGCCAAGCACAAAACAAGTCCATTTGGGTTATACAATACTTCTTTACAATAATAGTCATCATTTTGAACAGTTGCTATGTGCATGTGCTATCCTGGGTGTTTTACATGTTACCCCTCACCTTTACTACAGCCCCAAAGTATAGAAGTTTGAGTTCCCATTGTGTTCAGGTAAGGAAACTGGACACAAAGAGGTGAAGTGCCTTGACTGGCAAAAGATGGAGCTAGGGCTTGACCTTGAGTCCAGCTCCAGGGCCTGTGCTCTTTCCACTTTGCTGCATCCCCTTCTAGATGGAGCAAGAGCTTGTTGCCCTCCTACACAGGAGGAGGTGGCATCTGTCACTTCTCTGCATTCCTGGTGTGTCTACTGTGGACCTAATGAGTGTGGACCACTTGTATTATATTTTGTGACTTGAAATGGTGCTCTTTTAAATTTTTTTCTGGCTTTGTAGTGACAGTTTTTGTGTAGCAGCATGTGACTTCTATTTCAGTTTCTGTCCTTTGGCTCAAACTAGAGAAAGTCTGTTTTCTTGAGCATTTTTAAGTTGTGGATTCAGAAAGCAGTTTTGCTCATTCCTGGTGAAGACTGCTGATGAATTTTTGTTTGTTGGAAGAGAGGAAAGCTGCACTTAACTGTTATTATCTTGCTTTTTTAGCTGCCAGAGGCCAAGGAAGGGAAATCCGAGATGCCACCCACAAGTGACCTGCCACCCAGTACAAAGGAGCCAGCCAGTGACAGGTGGGGGCACCCTGTCCTTCCTCCAGGCTCACCGCTCTTGGGCCACCCCTGCTTTGGTTATTGCATTCAAGTTGATTTTGGCAATTTTCTTAGTCAGAAAATCTTTCTCCTGTGGACATACGTGAATAAGTGGTTTGTTTGTGCCATTCAGTTAGCTAGCAAGTGATAACTTCTGCTTTTCTAAAAATATTACTTGCGTAGGTCCTGGCTGGGTGGCTCAGTTGGTTCGAGTGTAATCCTGTATACCAGAAGGTGGCAGGCTTAATTCCTGTTCCAGGGTTTGATCCCCAGTTGGGTGGATATGGGAGGCAGCCATTCGATGTTTCTCATATCAGTGTTTCTCTCTCTGTTCCAGTCTCTCTCCCCCTCCCTCTCCCCCCCCTTCCTGTCTCTAAAATCAGTGAACATGTCCTCAGGTGATGATTAAAATATATATATAATTATTCACTTAGAAGAGTAAATATACTCATCACTGCTTCCTAAATACCTTGCCCCTCCCATACTGGAGCCATTGCATTGGATGCCTATAAAAGTGTAGGCCTTTGGGAAGGGGTAATATTGAGGAGTCCTAAGATGGGCTGTCCCTGGTTCCCCTGCTCCCTGGCTTCCTGTCATGCACAAAAGGGAGATATAAAAGAGAATTTCAGAGATTGTGGGTCTGATTCATTTCTTGGAAGAAGTAGCTCCCCTTTGGACATTCAGATTGGCTGGCCCTTAGAGGAAATAGCACCATATACCCCATTCTTCTTTCTGCCATCTGTGTGCTTTCCCCAGTCAAATTCTTCTTCCAGTCCCTAACTCTTTAGTTCAGCAGTCTGTGATAGTATATTCTTACTCCTTATCCTCTTCTGTTAGGGTGTAGAAAATCTTTCTTGTTAGTTTTTTAAATCAACATAAGCAATTTTCTTTACTTTGTACCTTCTGAAACCTACCTTCCTACCTCCCTCAACAACTTGCATTCACTGGTCACAACAGGAAATGCCCAGTCATAGCCACAAAGTAAACTCTGGCCAGTTATGAGAGGGAGGAGGAAGGTGTCCTTATCACTTCATGAAATGAATATTCAGTCATGGAAGCAGGATGTGGGAGAGTGGCAGAGGGAAAAACTGTTCCCATTTCTAGAATGGATTTGGGATTTTTTTCTTTTGATCCTAAATGAAAAGCTCTTATCAGTAAAACAGCCTCCTCAGTAACTGGGTTGATGTTGAATAGGCCAGCAGAGGATCACTCATCCAGTGATGAGGGGTCACAGGAGCTTGAAGAATCAATCAAAATGGACCCCGTCCCCACGGAGCCACTCAGCCATAGCACCACAACCTCGTATAAGAAGTCTCTTCGCCTGTCCTCGGACCAGATTGTGAGTAGTGTGTGATCCATGTGGATCTAGTTAGATTATCTTAGTAACTGTTTAAGTTGATCTGCTTCCTGTTCTGTCCATTTGATCCCAAACCTTACACACACAACACTGTGTGGTTGTATAGATGCTTACATATAAATGCTCACAGAAATGCCCACCTCCAGGGACTGCCAGGATCACCTTGGAATCCCAAACACTTTTTCCACCACCACTACCTGACCCTCCCACCTCATTTTCTGAGAGTGAACTGAGAAATCTGTATTTTTAATTTGTTTTCCTGTGAATTTTAAATAGCTAGCTCATCACTGAGTCACCCACTATCTTTCGAGAGCCACAACAATAGAGAAATCATGTTTTCTTAGTTAGACACAATTTCCCCTTTCCCATTTGTTTTTACTCCCTGGCTTTTCACCTATTTTCAGTGTGAAATGATTTTGCTATGCCCCCAGTCTTAGGTATGGAGGAGGAGTGGAGAGGTTTTTTGTTTGGGGAATTAGAGGAGTCTCTTGGAATCCCAAACACTGTTCAGGCAGTGGCTCCCTAAGCCCAGCTCATTGAGTGAGCCATGTGTTCAGCACTGGGCCAGGTATGTGGTAATGCTACAGACACCATCCTGTTTTGTAAACATTTAGACTCTGCCAAACTGTGTTTTGAGCTGAATTTTTATTTCAGTTATCTTGTTAATGTATTCTTTCCCATTTTTTATGTATTTATACATACATATGTACGTTTATATATTTTGGAGATTAGGTTCCTTTTCACTTAACATTATATCTTAGGCAGTCTCTCAGTAACTACATATTATTGGAAAGTGTGACTTTTGATTGTTGCATGTAATTCCATCAATTTTTAAAATTCTGCCTCTGTGGTTTTCTTTATGCTACTTTTATAAAAGGCAAAACTGAAGCTCCAAGATGGCCCAAATGATGTCGTGTTTAGTATTACAACCCAGTATCAAGGTACCTGCCGCTGTGCAGGGACCATTTACTTGTGGAACTGGAATGACAAGATCATCATTTCTGATATAGATGGAACAATAACCAAGTAAGCAGGAGCTCCTGATGGGTGGCAGGGAGAGGAGGCGCAGGACACTGTGCGGAGGGCGGGGGTTCCTCACCAAGCACCGAGCTCTCAGCCATTATTTACACTGAGACATCCTGAGTGCAGTCCACACGGGTCATTTTATGGATGGAGGAGATGGGTGGAGCCATACAAATGTAATGTTGAAAAAACTCTTGGAAAGATTTAGTTATTTGGTTCCCAAATTTTGGCATTAAAAAAAAACCACTAAGAAGATACTGAGATTAAGAAGGAGAATAAGGGTTTGTAGTTGTAAATTATCTCTGAAAGTGAGCAGCTGGCTCTCATGTCTGATTCTACTCAGAAGCTCCTAAGTGGTGTATTTGCAGGAGACTGCCTCACTACAAATTGCCCTGTAGATTGCCCCCCCCCC